TGAAGAAAGTAGCCATTACTTTTCTGAAATTGGCAATGTTAGTGGCCGGTCCCACCATACAACTGGCATTACCAATTTGATGCTAGCAACAGCAATGAATACATGTAAGTTTCTCTGTCTCTCCAACACAATACATCAGTCTCTCTCTCAACGTCCTTGCCCATCATGCAGCCTCCCCTTCTCTCATTCCACATAATCGAAGTTCCAGGTCCCTCCATCCTACGAAAAAAAACTCGTCCTTGCAATTTGACATCACCCCCACACATATGAACAACACGAATCTATGGTAGTGATGAAAGAACGATAAAGATGAACGAGAAAGTATTGTCTAGAGAAAGTGAGACATGAAGTGAGAAGTAGAGAGATGTGATTAATAATCTGTTGTGGGAATGTCAATTATATGGTGAGTCCATCCATAAAACCAAGTCGTAAAAGTCTTTCCCTATCCAATATAATACACACAATAACATAAGAGACATATGCAAAGGAAGAACAAGAAGACAATGGTGATGACTGATGACCAAAGGTTTGGAATTGCATCCCCACAAAACATAATGTACCAACAGATGATGCACCGCCTTTGTAAATCTAGAATTTGTGGCCACTTATTACCCTATAATCAATCCACTTGTCATTTATCATTACCATACACTTATGCAATAGACCAAACATGTGTAGAAGTAAAAAAAAAAAAAAAAAAAAAGGGGAGAAAACAAAAGGGGGGGGGGGGGGGATTAAAAAAAAAAAAAAATTAAAAAGGAGGAAATTAGTCAATGACCAAGGGCTTGGAATATATGAATTTAAAGTTTCATTATTTTAGTTTAGGGCCTTAGTTTTCTTAACATTTTCTTGTATTTTATACTCTCCTCAACTTGAACAAAGTCGTCCTTCTTAACGTGTGACAATATCTCTAACAGTAAGCACCTTTTTGATTGCCTTTAAATTAAAACTCTTTCTTCTAAATACTCATTTTCAACCATACATTTACTCAATAAAATATTATACACGTAAATCCAAGATTTTTCCTTACTTTTGAACTACACATTCTCTAAAAATTCAATAATCAAAACATTGTTTTTGGTAAGTAATGGCCACCAAATAGGGGCTAAATATAATAACATTATGAAATACCCCCATAGGGTCTGCTGGTAATTATAGCGATTGCTTTGAAAAATACTAACACAACCATGGTTATATTATTTATCTAGGAACATGGCATATATAATTAACGCCCTGAAAAGGACCTGTATATATACCCATGTGCATGCCCATGTTTCACGGGGTGCCTTCTTCTTGGCACAGAAAGGGACACCGTGCGGCAGTAGTCTGCTCCGCTAGACTACCTTCCGCCTTTTCTCGGTCACGTCGGGNAAGTTCGATCTCATGATCAATCGTCCTTCTTGGTGGTAATTTCTTTGGTAATTCTTCCGGCATGATGTCCTCAAATTCCCGAACAAGCATTTTAACGGGTTTTGGAATAGGACCATTCGCCTCTTCGACCTCCTCTAATCGAAGAGTACACAAAAAGGAGGGTTCATTTCTCTTGAAACCTTTACTAAATTGCATGGCTGAGATACTCTTCTCGCCTATCCTCCCAACCTGGGTAGGGATGACACACGGCTTATTACCCATCATCATTAACGAATCGGAATATGGCAACACTGCTGTCTTAGTATCCCGAAAAAATTCCAATCCTAGAATAAGCTTGAAATCATCCATCTGAACTGCAGATAAGTTTGTCCTTCCCTCGAAAGGACCTGCTTTGATCAACACCGATTTCGCCACTCCAGCTATTGGTTGAGCAGCGGAGTTGATTGCTTTGACTTTTCCAGTACCCTTTTCTAGAACCAGTCCGAGCCGCTCTACTTCGGTACATGCAAGGTAGTTGTGGGTAGCACCAGTATCCACCATAGCCCTGATTGGCTTCCCATTGATTTTTACATCAATGAACATTAAGCCTTTGGCCCTACAAATACGAGCCTTCGCTTCTTCCATCTTTGCCTCTTTCAATGGGACATCATCCTTTTCAGCAACCCGATGCGATAGTGTGTTGCACCGATGTGAAAATGCCCCAACTACTTCCTCATCCTCTTCAGAGTCAGTCTCATTATGACAATTAGCTTGCGGTACCTCTTGTTTTGAACTTGGCCCGCCACTTGCTAACTGACAATATGCATTCACCATCCGCTTCTGAGGACACTCCTACACCCGATGAGGTCCTTCACATAAAAAGCACTTCAATTTGAGAGTGGCATCAGTTCGGCCCTCCGTTGCTTTCCCTTTGTTCCAGTTGTTACTATTACTGCAGTTAAAATTTCCCTGACGGCTGTTATGATAATTTCCCTGAAAGCCACGGGTGCTTTGATAGGCTCCTTCTCTATTTTGAGAGTAGCGCTCTCCCCCATTTGGGTTCGAGCTGGGTCTGTAAGATCTGTTACCACCTCCAATTGCTTGATTACTCCCCGAAGGTCGATCTTTTCTAGATTCTGTTTGGTAGTTGCTCAAGCATTCAGCGGCTCCCATGGCCGTGCTTAAATCAGTAACCTTCTGTCTTTGAAGTTCCGTGCGTGTCCACGGTTTTAACCCTTCCATAAGGTGAAGAGCTTGTCCTTTTCTGACATATCTCGAATATTCAGCATATGCCCTGAGAAGGATTTCACATACTCCCTGATAGAGCTCGTGTGTTTCAGGTCTCGAAGAGCCCGTCGAGCTTGATACTCGACATTTTCCGGGAAAAACTGTGATATGATCGCTTCCTTGAGGAGATCCCAAGAATCAATTCGAATCCTGTGAGCCTGAATGTCCGCATATTTGGTTCGCCACCATAGTTTTGCATCTCCACCCAGATACATGGTAGCTGTGGTTACCTTTCTAGTTTCATCTTCGATTGAAACTGCTAGAAAGTACTGTTCCATATCAAACAAGAAGTTTTCGACTTCTTTTGCATCACGTGCCCCTCCGTAGGTACACGGTTCAGAAATTCTGAGTCTAGGAGCATACTCGTGTGCGGGAGCTTGCCCATTGCCCACCGCACGTTGGAGTACTCGCAATTGAGCTCTCAACGCTTCCATTTCATCCTGTAGATCAGGAATGATTGCAGCAGCTTCCGTCATTGCTGCGCAAGCTCTTTGGCTTTCATCCAATTGGATGTGTAATCCACGAATCTCAGATTCGGCCATCTCGACTTTTTCCTCGAGACCTTCCACAGCATAGCACAACCTAGTAGTTGTCTCATCAAGCGCATCCACGCGCTGTTTCGTAGTACCCTTCTTTTGAGGCTCTACCACTTCAGTGGTGTGTGATGTAATTGGATCCATAACTTTCTTATCGAGGGTCGTGAGCCGCAGCTCTGATACCAACTTTCACGGGGTGCCTTTCTTCTTGGCACAGAAAGGGACACCGTGCGGTAGTAGTCTGCTCCGCTAGACTACCTTCCGCCTTTTCTCGGTCACGTCGGGACGAAAGAAGATTTGATTGCAATTTTGTAGAAAACTTACAATTGAGAATTTGAATACATTGAAAGTAAATTGAACATTGATTGATGAAAACTGAACATTACAATTGATGAAAGCAGAAAATTACAAATGCTGGTGCAGGGGGCGGACACCAGTGAGCTTGAAAGATTTTTGAATGACTAATACCCCCTATAATAGCATTCTGAACAAAAACCCAAGTGACGGGAGTAGACGTTTAAAAGACGAGGAATCATACTAATCTTTTACCAATATCAGAGCTATTTTACAATTAAAATAACTATTACAATGAAACGAAAATTACAACTCAAACTTGAAGTAATATTTACAATGTGCAGCCGAAGTTGGGCAAACTGCGGCTGCGATAGTGTCAAGGGGCTAAGTAAAGCTGCGGTCCTTGACACCATGTCCTTCCAAATTTACCTAGAAAGCCAGTGCCTTAATTTAGGAGATGATATAACTTAAGTAATTCATAGCTATCTAGAATCTCCGTAACATAAAGATTCCTTAGATCTAGAAGTAATTGAAATTAATTAATCACAGAGCTAATCAACAGTAAAGACGGAAATCCGTACTCCGTTATACATAGTCGTAAATGGATATCCATATTATTCCGGAAACTCTTCCTCTATACTAGCTTTTTCTGGAATGCAATCCCCGACAAAGTACATACTAAATTTTTGCTTATCAAGCCTTGAGTTCTTTAGAGTAGTTTCAGTCAAATATAAATAACTATTGATGGGTCTACCGCAGGTTCAAGTCATGTCTCCTTCCCTTTTTAAGTCATCAGTAGTAACACGGTGGTGGTGAGTCCATTGTTAGACATCAAGTAGTTGAATGTGAGCATTTGGCCGTAGCACATTTCCTTGTTTTTATCCCTAAATTTCTCTTTGTTGTTGGTATATATCTAAATCCTTTCCGGGAGGACTAGGTTTGCACGTTGTAAGAATATAAACTCAAAGCAAGAGGCAGGGAAAAAGTGGGCTGATCTCTTTTGCTGATTTGGTGGTTACATTTTTCTTCAAAAGGACAAGTTCCAATAATCCTTCACAACTGCTAGACATTCTCACCCCGTATGGATGTGGAAGACAGAGAAATTTGATGCAACAAATAAGAAAGCATGGAAGAACCAAATATGAATTTAATAATAAAAATTATTTCTGTGAAGGAGTTGGTCTGGGTCTAGCAATCAAGAGTCAAGTAGTAAACTCTGCCTACAACCACAATATCCCACTTTAGGCATCAAGCGTACTGCTTCCCAAGTAATATAGCACAAATTCAAAGGTAAACACTAAAATCAAGCTAACTCATTGAAGTGAAATCCTTGATTTTCTCTTACTTTTTTTGTTTTCACTTTTGTTTTATTATTTCTCTAACTTGAAAAATGAAATTAGAATCATGTTCTATGCTTAACAGTAACTAGAAAATTTGGGACAATTCCTCTTTATCACCTTAAATAACTTCTTGCTGCTAAAATCATAAAGATTTGCAGCTTCATAATCTACTAAAGAACCAAAAAGAAGACCATGAGAATAAATTGTATGGCAAGATTTCATATTGAACAGGAGTTGGGCATACAGGTCCTTCAACCAGCCATGATTGAAAGAAGACAACATATACTAGTATATTACATCTTGGTTCAACCATTTAGACATGGCAGCATTAAAGAGTACATATTTTAAATTGAATTCTAAGAACCAACCATTTCACATAAATTTTAGGTTGGAATTAATATCTAGAAGAAATAGACAATCGCAAGGATGACATACACTTCCAATCAACCAACCAACTGACTTTCAATCATCTAAAAAACTGGGAGGATAACATGTTAGGAGCAAAACAAAATAACCACTGCAATGTAGCATAATAATTGGCAAGCAATTCAGTCAAGCAACCGAAATTAAATGTCAAGTTGCCACAAATAACAACCCTGACTTGGATGATAAAATTCCTTTCCTTTCACCAGTTGACTTCGGCGGGCAAGGGGCGATTGAACCCACCACGGCGGTTCATGTACTGTCGCGGCTGCCACTTTGTGACCTTTCTTACAGCCCCGAAATCGTTGCCTGGGACAGGCTTTCCCTTTGTTGAATCAAAGCCCATAGGAATCCCCAATTTCTTCATCATCTCCATCTCATCTTCGTCCATCATACTCCCATCATTATCATTCTCCTTGTGCTTCTTTTCTTTCTGATCTTTCGAGGCTTCCCTAGTACGGTCCTTGTGCTTGTCCCTTTCTTGGGGGGCAGTTTCGTTCTTGTGTCGCTTACGAGGAAGGGATGAAGGGGTGCGAGAGAGTTGCTGACGATGACGGTGGGGATGGCGGTCGTCCGGGGAGTGGGTGTGGGATCTAATGCGGCGAGTTCAACTCCGGTCGGGAGTACGAGAGCGAAAACGTTTGCTGCGTTCCCGGTCATAATCTCGGTCCTCGCGTATTCTTTTCCGGTCCCTGTCCCTATCCCTGTCCCGTTCTCGACGTTCGCTCATAGTGCTGGAAATTAACGAGAAGCAAGGGCTCCGTCGAATTTAACAGGGACGGAGGTTTTTACTTTTTACGGACGGAGGTTTTTACTTTTTACTTTTTACGGTGTGGGGGTTTGAGGATGGAGACAGCGTTTTGTGAGTTTAAATGTTTCATCAACCACCCAAGTGACGGATGGTGCAAGATCAAGTCCTAACTACAAGAGGGGAATTCCATTTCAACATAGTGTAATGAAGAGAAACAGCCCACAATGGAAGAAGTGATCAGCAATTCAGCACCAGCCAGTTGGGGAAGAAAAGGAATTAGAAACAAATGGCTCTAAATGTGAAATTTGAACTTGGGAACGGCGCCGTTTCAACATGGAACTAATTGTAGTGAGAGTATATTTGATTGGCATGAAAAATATCATCTAGAAAAAAAATATATTTTTCTTATTTTGAGGAAAACAAAAGCCATCTCCCCCCCCCCCAAAGAAAATATTTTCCTTAAAAACAATGAAAATTAGGCATATTTTCAAAAGTTGAAAAATATTTTCAATGGAAAAAAATAATAATCAAACACCTAAAGTAGGAATTGGTATGAAAAATTGATATTTTTCATGGAAAATAAATGTAATCAAACACAACCTAAGTGTATTACGCTTTTGCAAGCCAAACACATTTTTTTTATTTTATTTAGCAAACAAGAGGAAATGAATAGAGTAAGTGGAAAATTGTCAGAACTTTGTACCTCCTTCTTCCTCTCGCAACTTCTCTGTGATCTCCCTCCTTCTTTTTTCCTTATTGTAAATTCTTTTGGTTCAATCATAGCACCAGCTGGGTTGTTAAATCCCAGTTGATTATCTTCATCTTGTGAGTTCATTGTGGTGATTTTGATTGGTATTGGTTGAGGATTAACTCAACCATCACAAGTGGTATCAGAGCAATTAAAATTTTGGGCATGGCTACTAGGGCCAAAGCAGTAGAGGAACATCTTAAAATGTTGGACAGAGACGTAGAGGATCTAGGAGAAGCCTTTAAAAATGTGGGAATCAAGGTAGAAAAATCGGACCAAACGTTACAAAATATGTGTAGCAAACATGATCGGATGGAGGCCTTGATGACATAAATGAGCGTTAAATATGAGTCCATGGTAGCAATGATGACAAACTGGAGTTGGCAAAAAGGGGGAAACCAGGGATAAGCAGAAAATGGGGTCATCTATACAATCCTCAATTAGTGAAGGATTACTCACACCAAAAATGGGGGCAATACCTGGAGTAGTACTGATAAAGGGAATACGATGACGGGGTGTCAGGTTGCCCAAAATCGATTTTCCCTATTTCAATGGAGAAGGCCCTCAGGAATGGTTGAAGAAGGCACAAAAGTACTTTCAAATACACCGATTCCCTGATAAAGTTAGAATTAGCATTGCAGAAATGTACTTGAAAGGAAGGGCAGATGTTTGGTTTCATGGATTCATCAATAGCAATCCTATTGCTAACTGGAGTTTGTTCTCAACTAAGGTCTACAAGCAGTTTGCCGAATCTACAGCAGAGAAAGTCATAGAAATTTTCAGTAAAATTAGACAAAAGGGAAATGTGGCTGAATACCGGGAACTGTTTGAAGATCTAAAATCCCAGGTTATGGTTTCACTGCCTCACTTTACAAAATCATACTATATCTCCATATTCACCAGTGGATTGAAGAAAGAGTTTAAATCCATGGTTAAAATTGTGAGGCCAAACTCTGTATCCCAAGTATTTGAGATAGCCCTACTATAAGAAAACACCATTACAACCTTGAACAAAACCGCCAAATTCCAAGCCAAACCTACTTACCAACCCAAATGGTTCAATATACCTCAGAAACCTCCTGGAAATACTTCCAAATACCTACCTACAACCACCCATGAATCAAGCCAAAAAAACCAAACCCATCCATTGAATTTCAAAACTATCACCCCTACTGACATTCAGACAAAGAGGAGTTTAGGATTATGCTTTAGATGAGATGAAAAGTATACACCAAGGGATATTTGCAAAAATACGATGTTAAACTTTATGCTAATTTATGAAGAGGAAGTGATGGGTCTGGAAGGAGAAGGTAAAGGTAAAGGTGTAATAGACACTAGTGAAGGTGAGGAAGAAGAGTAAATTATGGAGATTTACATTAATGCTCTTTCTGGGAGCCTCAAACCTATAATCATGAATCAAGCCAAAAAAACCAAACCCATCCATTGAATTTCAAAACTATCACCCCTATTGACATTCAGACAAAGAGGAGTTTGGGATTATGCTTTAGATGAGATGAAAAGTATACACCAAGGGATATTTGCAAAAATACGATGTTAAACTTTATGCTAATTTATGAAGAGGAAGTGATGGGTCTGGAAGGAGAAGGTAAAGGTAAAGGTATAATAGACACTAGTGAAGGTGAGGAAGAAGAGTAAATTATGGAGATTTACATTAATGCTCTTTCTGGGAGCCTCAAACCTATAACCATTAGAATACCGGGACACGTGAAAAGGATGAAAGTACCTATCCTCATCGATACTGGCAGCACCCATAGTTTTATTGATGAAAAATCGATACAAGAGCTAAAATGTAAGGTTGAAACCACCCAGCCTGTGACTATGACTGTGGCTAATGGTGATAAACTGAAGAGCAAGGCTATATGTAATCCATTAACCTGGACCATGCAAGGAATGGAATGTCAGTTCCAGTTGAGAGTACTGAGGTTAGGGGAGAGTGACATGGTGTTAGGTGTGGATTGGTTAAGCCAATTCAACCCAGTGGTTTTTTATTTCAAACAGAGTAGCATCAAGTTCTGTTATGGAGGAATAGAAGTGGAGTTGAAAAGTGAGGTGGAAAAGGAAGATATCCTATCGATAGAAGGAGAACAAATGAGTCAATGGATTCATAAACAACCCTATGGGATTGTAGCTCAAATCCACTCTGTGGTTGAAGAAGAAAAAGAGCTTAATCCTGAAGCCATACAGAATATTCTTGAACATTATCCTAAGGTTTTCATTTAGCTAAAGGGAATGCCACCTCCTAGATTCAACGATCATAAGATCCCATTGAAAGAGGGAGCTTAGCCTTTCAAAATTAGACCGTACCGATGCCCCTATGTGCAGAAGGCGGAATTGGAAACGATGGTAAAGGAGATGTTAGAAACTGGGATTATCCAACAAAGCAACAGCCCTTATGCCTCACCTGTTTTGTTGGTTAAAAAGAAGGATGGAACATGGAGATTCTGTGTAGATTATAAGTAGTAAAATAGTCTCACCATCAAAGATAAATATCCTATGCCATTAATTGACGAATTAATTGATGAATTACATGGGTCTAAGTGGTTTTCCAAGATTGTCTTAAGGGCAGGATATCACAAAATCAGGGTAGCTGAAGTTGATATACACAAAATAGCTTTTAAGACACACCACGGTCTATGAATTCAAGGTTATGCCCTTTGGGCTCACCAATGCCCTAGCCACCTTCCAGTGTTTAATGAATGAAGTTTTCAAAAAATATTTGAGGAAGTTTGTTCTAGTTTTATTTGATGACATCCTAGTATACAACCCTGCTTTGGAATCTCACTGTAAACACTTGTCCATAGTCTTGGAAACTTTAAAAACACAATAGTTGTATGCTAAGTGGACTAAATGCTTATTTAGGCAACCCAAAGTAGAGCACTTGGGTCATATTATATCAACAGTAGGAGTGGCAGCTGACCCATCAAAGGTAAGTGCTATGCAGCAATGGCCTACACCTAACAATATCAAGCGATTGAGGGGATTCCTTAGTTTGACAGGATATTATAGAAAGTTTGTAAAAGGGTATGGGGTTCTTCCTAAGCCTTTGACTGACTTACTAAAAAAGATAATTTCAGGTGGGATACAGCTGTAAAAAGGGCATTTCAAAGGCTAAAGGCAGTAACGTACAATACTCCAGTCTTAGCCTTACCCGATTTTAGCTATCCATTCATCATAGAGACTGATGCTTGTCATGGAGGTATAGAGATAGTGTTAATGCAGAACAAAAGGCCTATTGCTTACCTTAGTAAGGGAATCTGTAATGAGAAGTTAAGAATTTCCATTTATGAGAAAGAATTATTAGCTTAGTCACAGCGGTGGGGAAATGGAGACATTATCTGGAAGGACACCACTTTATCATAAAGACAGATCATCAATCTCTTAAGTATCTACAGGAACAAAGAATAACTACCCCCATTCAACAAAAGTGGTTGACTAAACTCCTTGGACTCGATTGTGAGATTCAGTACAAGAAAGTTGTGGAAAATATAGTGGCAGATGCACTCTTAAGGAGGGAGAAACCAACTACATAGTTAGCAGCCATTTCTAGTGTGATTCTTACTTGGATACAGGAGGTAATAGATAGCTACAAGGATGATAAACTGGCTGCACAACAAATTGAAGGGTTGTTGATTAATCCAAAGGATAATTCTGAGTTTACTTTTAACAATGGGATACTCAAATATAGAGAGAGGCTATATATAGGATCTGGAGGACAGATAAGGGAGAAACTAATTTAAAACATACATTCCTCTCAGAATGGAGGCCATTCAGGTATTCAAACTAGTGTATTTAGGGCTAAACAACACTTCTTTTGGCTTGAAATGAGCAGAGATATTAAGAAGAAAATACTCCAATGTGACGTTTGTCAAAGGTGTAAAGGGGAACGTGTTCCATACCCTGGTTTACTACAGCCTCTTCCTAAACCACAATATTCTTGGAGCCACATCTCAATGGATTTCATTGAGGGATTGCCTGCTTCAAAGGGGAAGACTGTCATACTGGTGGTGGTAGACCAATTTACCAAGTATAGGCACTTCATAGCATTGTCACATCCATTCTCAGCAATTATAGTGGCTAAAATCTTCTAGGATAACATCCACAAACTCCATGGTACGCCCCAGAGTATAGTATTAGACAGGGACAATGTTTTCACAAGTGGGTTTTGGCAAGAGTTATTCAAACTGATGGGGACAACTCTATACATAAGTTCTGCCTATCACCTACAAACTAATGGGCAGACCTAAAGACTCAACCAATGTTTGGAAATGTATCTGAGATGTATAACTTTTCATCAACCAAAGAAGTGGATTAAATGGTTGTCCATGGTCGAATGGTGGTACAATACCACCTACCATACAACAATTAAGATGAGCCTTTTTGAAGCTCTGTATGGTATTAAACCACCACAGTTGGCTCTAGGACCCTACCAACAACTCAATGTGCTGCAGTGGAGGATTTGATGAAGGAAAGATAGCAAATGGATCAACTCCTGAAAGAGCATTTAGCTCA